GCTGTTCATACATTAAGTCAATTCCTACTTTGCTTGCGTCAAACACATCTTGATGTAGTTTCGTGAGTACTACGATACCTGAAAGGAGCACTAGGTCAAGGTTGTTATTGCCTAGTCATAATCAATTAACGTTTTGAGCCTATTGTGAAGTAGATTGGGGAGGTTGTCCAACAACACAAAAATCAACTATTGGGTACATAATTTTTCTTGGTTCGTTACTCATTTCGTAGCAATCCAAGAAACAGTCAATGGTTTCACGATCATCCGCAGAAGCAAAATATAGAGCCATGGCTACCATGACAAGTGAAATTGTATGGCTTTTTAGGTTTTTGGCTGATCTACGCATTTTTTATTTAGGTTTTTGGCTGATCTGCGCATTTCTTATCCAACACCAGTCCCACTCTTTTGTGATAATTAGGCTGCAATTCATATTAAAGCAAATCTAGTCTTTCATGAATGCAATAATCATATTGAAATAGATTGTCTGTTTATCAGACATCACGTTCAGTCAAAGATTCTTATTCCAAGGCCAATGTCAACATGTTTTCAGTTGGCGGACATTTTCACGAAAGCTCCTGGATGAAATCACTTTCATCATCTGTTGGCCAAGTTGGGCATTACAAATTTGCATTCTCCAACTTGAGGGCGAGTAATGAAGGAGGCTTGACTTGAGATTTTATTCTCCCTAATTGCAGAGAATAACCATTGACTAATTGGCTGCAATTAACTCCTAATTTCTTAGTCTACGGCATGACTAATGCCTTCACTCTAGGCAGCCATTCATTGTAAATAGTTCTTTCCTTTGTATTACCATCACAAAATGTATTTAAACACTGAATGCCTTGTCAATATAATACAAGATAGAGCATTCAAACTCTTCAACTTTAACAAGGTAATTAGACTTGAGAGATTTTTCTAGCTTTAAAAAAAAAAAAATCAAGGCTGGAGATAGTATGATCGGTAGTTAAGAGTGCAATTCAGACCTTCTCTATAAAGGTAAGGTTTGTGGCACCCGCTATTATGCTACTGCTTCGGCCATATAACATATTATCTTACACTTTCAAGCCTAGAAGTCATCTTTACTGAATCATGTATAGCATGCCTAGGTACATCTTGGTGAATTAAATGAATTCTATAAACTTCTCCAATTCAGCACAAATGACATTTTTTAAAGGAAATCCCGACAATTATCAGTACTTCATGGAGCATGACATTTACCTGTTACAAACCATTTATGAGCCAATCGCTAAACCTGCTAATCAATAATGTGCTGTAAGGTAAGGTACAGTGAGAGCTTAAGTTTCGTAACCCTTACCGTATAATCCGATCTGCTCAATAGAACACCACTTGATTCTTAACGTTTGAACTAGCAATGTCTCGTCTCCTTGCGTGTATAATATTTTTTGTCCTCATTTTTGGATCAGCTGTTGCAGGAGAGTCCAACTACTGCTCAAAAGTAGCAAATTACTTTTTTCCATGCATAAATTACGTAGGTGGATTTTCACCTAAAGCAGCTAAAGATTGTTGCAGTGGCCTTGAAGAAGTCAATAAAATGGCAAAGGAAAAGGAAGGTCCTGAAAACATATGTCAGTGCATTGAAGACATGGCTTATGTAACGAACATCCCATTCATTGCATCTCGCGTCCAGTCTCTTCCTGAAGACTGTCATTTTCACTTCAGCTTCCCAATTTCTATTAGCATGAATTGTTCCAGGTAACAACAACCACCTCACTCACTCTCCTGTCCTTTGCCAACTCTCTGTCTCTTTAAGTAATCACAATTGAAAGTGTTGTTGTCATTCTGGAGGGGTTAATGTTGAGAAGATTTATGAAATAAAGAAGACCTCGATTGAGAAGGGAGATGTCATTAATTAGTATTTAATTAGTGCTTGTAATTAAGAATGAATCAGCTCTGTCCAAAAACAAATATGCATCTGTAAGGTTGAGCGTGGTACCTTACTCAGTTACAAATACAGTAATACAATAATTAGGTTGAGCATGGTACCTTACTTTAGTCTCTCATTTTTCTTCAATTTTGCTACGAACAAATTCAACCTGGTGTTATACCAGTATTGCACAGGGCCAACGTCAAGGAATCAAAAACCCTACGCTCAGAGTTTTCTTCATCTGTGTATCATCCTTTTAGGTTACAGTTTGATTCTGTTTGGCGTCAGGGAATAAAAAAGATTACTTAGACTAGCATTTCTCATCAATTAATTAAAATATTTAAGAACTTTGAGTCTAAAGCGGGCTATCATTAGTCCAATTCAATTCGGCCCAATAGCAATGAAAGCAGGAAAGTGGGAGAGAGGCGGGGCTTTCATATATATATGTATATCAATCAAGATCTTGCAGCTAATTAGGGGACGATTTGCTTATCTGATATAGAAGCATTCTTGTAATTAGATTGTGCATAATCGAGATTAATACAAATTCTCTCAATTCAGTCCCCATTTCTTGCTCCTGCAATGGTATTTTACATAGAACATGCTATTATAGACTCCAAATTTAATCAGAGGTATGCATTTTGGCTCTCCATGCTTAATTCCATGTAGAACCTTGTTGCTTTTAAGATTCAACTGATAATTTTGGGAAAAATTTCCGAAACAAGATAGCAAGACATTGATTTGTGGAATAACCAGGTTCAACTTTGAAAGGATTGTTCATGTTGCATAATTAGGCATTTGCACAGTCGTCAAACTAAGGTAGATTAGCAAATGACCATGCTAGCATATCTCTTTTTGTCCCCAAAATCTTCCAGATGAGAAGGCAGTTCATGCTTCTTTGTTACTGATATATCCACGAATTGTAGCAAATAGGGTCTCAAACCACTGTGGCTCCACAAAATAGCCGTTGGTTAAGGTGCTCTGCTTCAATTAACAAAGCTAAGATTTCTGTGATCTGTTATATCTGCTGACCAGAATGTGAACCATATGTATTTGCCATCCATCAGGAAGTAATCAATTATTGATGTTTCAAAACATTTTAAGATGAAAAATTTCTGCATGATCTGTTTGACTAGAACCAGTAATCGTTAATTTTCCATGTGCAGAATATTGGATATGGAAGTTTTAAGTTTTGACGGTACCTAATATTCCAACCCACAGTCCAGCTTGGAGACCAAATCAGGAAATGTGCAATTGAAAGCTGAAACTTTCACGTAAAAAATTTTCCCCAGAATTGAGCATTCTTGAATTCTTTCCAGAGAAGCAATTTTGCCTCAGCCATTGATGATTGCCCTTGGCTGCTTCAATATGAACTTGTTTCCCAAAAGAAAATGAATTGGTATTCCTTTGTAACCTTCTCCAAATGATTACAAACAAGAAAAACAATCTTTTTTTGGTACGAAGACAAGCTAATCTTTGATTGCTTGCAAGAAACTGTTAGCCACAAGGAGAAAATCCCAGCTTAATCAGTAAACGAACTAGTCTATATTTGGTTCAGATGAAAGAATCCTTGCATATGCACATTAAAAATATATTAATGTCTGCATCATAGTCTGGACTTTGGAGAGCCATCCACATCTACTAAATATTTTTTAAAAGGAAAAAGGAACTAATACAATGCCCTTTGCAAAATAAAGCATTAATCCTAATCTTCATAGTCACAGTAAACTCAATAATTATAATAGTATTCTACTATACCAAAATCAGAAAAGCAACAAAAGCATGCATATATATATATATATATATATATATTGGACGTATATGTGGGCATATCATTTAGTTGAAAATGACATCACTACACCATTTGCTGTAGCATGATCACAAAACACGATGGCTGCGTCTGAATTATATCATTCCAAACTGATGATTTTCATTTCCTGTGCATGCACAGGCTGCCTGGACCTGCCTTTCGTCTCCTTCTGTTTTAATTTTACGTCCCAGTAGCAATCCCTTTCTCCATTATTCACTCCATTTCACTGACTTTTTCTTAAATAGAACCAACTCTTTGTTCCTACCTTAACAAAAATTTTGCAACTCAAATTCAAAATTTCTAACTTTTCAATCACTCCCTTTAAACTCAAGTGATCTTAAACATTGACGTAATTTAATATTATGTTATTTTTTTCGATATTTTTAAGTGCGATTCAAAATACTTAATGTAAATAAAGAAAAAAGTACTGTATATGTCATGCATTTCGTTTTGAAAAAAAAATAAAATAGGTTTTAAATTTAGAAATAATTTTTCTACTTTAAAATATAAATTTATGATAAATAATATTAAAATTTATTTAATTTTTAATAATATAAAATTTTTGACAAAAAATGACAGCTTATACAACGAAAATATATTATAATTAAAATAAAATATTATGAATTTTACATTAAAGAGAGAAAGATAAATTTTTAATATATAAATAAAAACTTTATATATTTTTTTGGAGTCGAAAATGTGAAAACGTGACATTTATCCCTAACAATAAATATGACAAAACAAAGGCACCAAACTGAAAGACCGTCCACAATTAATTTGGGATGGGAAAAGGAAAGAGATATTTTCTCTAAACAACAATAAAAAAAAAAGATAAAAAGCATTGTGAATGACAAGTATAAATAAAGTTGATGAAATAACAGAGGCAACCCACTTGGCCCGAACTGACCAATTTTGACTAGACCCTTTCAAACACGAAAACTTTCCAATAAAACCTGAAAACTTTGCAAGAAAAGAGAAATAAGATCCAGCTACCAGCTACAATTTATATAAATATATATATATATATATATTTATTTATATTTATATTTATATTTTTCTATGGAAACTAAAGCACAACAGTGACGGGGCTGACAGCTAGGTAGCCGAGAATAAGAAAGCAGAGAAAAGAGAAATCAATTTAATATTAAAAAGTGGAAATTAAGTATGTCAAGAAAAGTCGTCGGCAAGAACGCGTTCATTTCAAAACACGCGGGGCCGAAATGCTAATCTCACACGTAGGTCACTTATTCACCGGTCAACTCTCCTCCCCTCCCTCTTTATATAACTGCCTTTTTTCTTTCTCTGAAGGTTTTCTTTTCCTGAATCAATTCGTGATCTTCTGTTTTTTTTTCTAGTTTTTATTTTTTGGAAATTTCAGTGTAAAAAAAAAAATTGTTTGGTGCTGTAGTGTGCTGAAATAAAACAAGAACACCATGCATGGAAAAGAGATTCTTCACAAAATGAAGGAGGTCAGTGGAAACTTGAAAATTATAGCTTTTTCCCTTAATCTTTGATGTAATGGTTTTTAAAATGGGTTTCATTTCCTTTGACTTGTTGCTGTGTTTTTGCTTTTTATTCTGCATTTGGTGTAGAGTTAATGCATAAAAGCAGAGTATCCTTTTTGGTGTTGCAGCAGTTGTTCTCTATTGACTGATGAGTTCCAGATTGTAATTTTAATGGGTTTTTTTTTTTGGATAAGTTGGGGCAATAGCTGAATTGGGTTATTCTCAATTTCAAAGAATTGTACTTACATTAGGTATTTTTTAAAATTAATTCCTAAGCTAACTTAAAAACAAAACTGTATGAGCTGTTTTTTGGATTGAAAACGAGATTGGTGCCAAAATATGTTGTGTGTTGATAAGTAATAGTACGAAAGTTTCTTCTTGACATCGGAAAAGCTCAATTTCATTATAATTGTAGATTGGGAGTAAAGGTATTAAGTAAATTTGGCATTCTAAGGAGGGTTGTTCATTTTTGTTTGGACCATATCATCAAAGTTGTTGCAAGTCGTAGAGTGCTGTAGTTTGAGTATATTGTCTGTTTATCAAGATGGTAGTGAATCAAAACAAGCTAATGAGAGTGATAAATCTCCAATAACTGTGATGGAACCATCATTGGTGGAACACTCAATATTGCCCTTGGCATGGAAGACAATTGCCATCTTATTTGAAAAGCTTTTCGCTGCTGCTCTTTCTGTCATGAAGGAAACTCCTGCCTGAGAGAAATCTATTGTTGGCTATTGTGAAATGCTCATATATGCATATGACACGTGTGTGTGTAATCCTAGGCCAATCAAATGATCCAGGATCCAAGTGCAGCCATTTTCAGTACCTAGTGACACTTGGATTGGATAAAACATTTAACTTTCCTTTGTCTCGTGCTCAGCCACAAGACTAGTATCTTTTTGTTACATCTGTCATGCAAATAGTTAATGGCATCTGAAACTCAATCTTGCACTTTTTCTTGAGCTTCTTTATGTTCCTCCGTATCCAAGGGGAGACATTTGTTTTTGTTTCTTGAAAGTGGGATCTACTCTAATTATTACATGCAATCTTATTGTCCCATTATGCTTCTCTGGATGGAAATGTCCATGCTGCTCCCAAATAATTTATTGCTTATTCTATGTTGTGAACAAGGTACAGTGTTTACCTTTCATGTGTAAACAGAAAATATCTAGCGTGACAACAGTAAGATTGTAGCATAAATTTGCTTATTACTTTATTTCGGTCCTGAATCAACCAGACAGATATTAGTCATAAATACATAGTAGTGTATGTGAACTTTTTGTTTTTATTTTTTGATTTTACAATGTTGTCTTGTTGTTGCATTTTGTCTTCTGTAAAAGAAGGCTTATCAATCCAGATGATTCCATGTTTAGTTTCTAAGAGACCATTTTTGATTCATGGAATTTGTGGCACTAGAGCACAGTCATATTGTAGAAGAGTAGAATATTCTTTTTGTTCAAATTAAATTACATACACAAATAAGAGCTGAAGATATGGTGAAATAAATTGGCACTTGCAATGAAAGCTTGACTTACTTGAAATCAAATCTTGACGTGTCAAGTCTTGAAGCATAGTTAAATCTTGACTGGATTACTCATCTTTGTCTTGGTTTAGATTAACACATGTTAAAATCTGTAACAGATCATTGTGAGTGGAATTCCTAGCCTGAAGTTTCCTTTTAAAGAACTGTGTTCAGGTAAAAGTTTTTTATGTGGTTTAACTGGGTTGTGTTCTTTTCAGTTGAAGGCTGGGCTATTTTCATCTGGGGCTGACACAGGGAAAGGGAAAAGCAAAATGTCAAAGCATATCACGCATGGCTTTCATTGCATGAAGGGAAAATCCAATCATGACATGGAAGATTATGTAGTTTCTGAATTTAAGAAAAAAGATGATGGTGAGTTAGGTTTATTTGCAATCTTTGATGGACATTTGGGCCATGATGTTGCAAAGTACTTACAGAACCATCTGTTTGATAACATCTTGAAAGAGGTAGACATTAGTTTGATGCTCAACATATGATACTTTTGCAGCCCTTAGATTTATTACTCCTTTCTGCAATTTTCTAGCTATTTAAATCCACAGGATCCCCTATTTAATGTATGTTTCTTAATCATAAGCAGCATGACTTTTGGACCCAAACGGAGGACGCAATAAGAAGAGCTTATCACTCAACAGATGCTGAAATATTGGATAAAACAAGGCTTCTAGGAAGAGGAGGGTCAACAGCTGTGACAGCAATACTTATCAATGGTCAGAAACTGGTAGTAGCAAATGTAGGAGATTCTAGGGCAGTAATATGCAAGAATGGTGTGGCAGAACAACTATCAGTTGATCATGAGCCAAGCAAGGAGAAGAGAATGATTGAGAGCCGTGGCGGTTTTGTATCAAACCTTCCAGGTAGCTAGAACTGTATAGTAGCGTTTCCACTTTCACATGCGAAAGAAAGTTAATTTTGAAAGCTCGAAGTTTCTGGTGCATGTTTTTTTAGACACATAACAAAGAAAACTACAGAATGTAACTAGTAATTGGACTTGGGGATTATCTATCCTGCTTAAACATTGCTTTTGTTATTGCAAGTATGGGAAATTTTAATTAAAGTAATATATCAACTATCAGGTGTTGTTAAACATATTATATGCTATATGAACTGCAACTGGCTTGTCCGGTACCTGGAAAATGGAAATAACATGTATTATCTGATGCTCACAGGGGATGTTCCACGTGTTGATGGGCAGCTGGCTGTAGCAAGGGCATTTGGTGATAAGAGTTTGAAGTTACACCTTAGCTCAGAACCTGACGTGACAGTGGTCGCAATTGGTGATGATGTAGAGTTCATTATTCTGGCCAGTGATGGGATATGGAAGGTTATTTGCTTTTCAATTCTAGTTTCCCTATTAAAGGAATCAGAGTTACTTAACTGCTTGGTCTTTATTTTCAACTCTTAATTTGTCTTATTCAAGTTTTAATGTAATCGAGTTTCTAAATTTCTCATCTTTATCCAATATCTGGGCAGGTAATGTCAAACCAAGAAGCAGTGGACACTATCAAAAACATAAAGGATGCTCAATCAGCAGCAAAGCTCTTGATAGAGGCAGCAGTTTCTAAGAAGAGCAAAGATGACATCTCTTGCATTGTTGTAAGGTTCCAATGAGATTTCTTTGGATAAGTACCATACTTCTCCCTAATTAAATGGAGAAAATTAATAGCTGAATATGTGTATACCATGCAAAGTTTTTTGCCCTCTATATAGTCTTGGTGATTGTTTAAGTCTGCTATAAAACTGTTGCATGTAAAATTAACCGAAGATTTTTGAAATGATTCCTTAAATTGCCTGAATTTCTTTTTGATTTCTTAATGATTCTCACAATGGGATGCTGTCCTGATTTCAATGCTGTGGGGAAATAGGATCATCCGTGCACTGAATTTGATCACTTTTCTGGAACTGCTGTTCAAGACTTATCAAAATTGTAGGATATGGATAAAATATGAGATAATTCTGAAGACATTGTACAATCTATTTTACTTTGGCAACGTTTTTCAAGTGGGTTTGTGCAAATTCCGTGGAAGCCTTATATAATAGGTGCATAATTCAATGCTACACCTTTCTTCAAGGTCCCCATTGGTTGGTTTAGCTACTAAGAGCTTGAGAGCGGTTTGGATGATCCAAGGATAAGGCTGGTAAGTTTGAACACTTCGCTTTCAAAGAGTTATTTAGTCAACTGGATTTGCTAATCAAGCCTTCCCTATAAAAGACCCCATATCTAACAAAAGAAAATAAAAGATATCGAACTTGTGGTATTTGTATACTTGTATTCATAGTCTCCTATATATAGTCCATATACATAATAGCTAAAATTCTGTCAGGCAGAGGAAGGGAGTACTGAAAATTCTATCAGATGTGTTGGGCACTTTACATTTACTCAGCAGTAACAGCTTAGGTTAAGTTTAGGCAAATCTGTACTTTCTGAACGCTTAACAGCCCGTCTGAGGTTTTTTAAGGATGCTGACAATTATCTGATGGCGTCCATATCCAAAATTCATCTTATCTCATCACTTTTTGTGCAATTGTCTGGTAGCAAAAATTATCCTTCTCTGGGCAATCTGTGGAGTTGCTTCTTGCCTGAATCCTGGAACAGCAAAAGAGACAGTTAAATGACATACGTCCTGAGAATTGTAGACTATGGCACAGCTGGTCTAATTGCCAGATTTAGGCCTGGGCCCTGTTTTAGCTTCAAAACAGCTGGCCCAATTTCTGGTCCGAGAAACTCCGGGTCTATAATAGGAGAAATGCCCAATTAAATATTGAAACGTTCACCATATCTTAAAGTTAAAAACATACAAGGAAATAGAATCTGCCTTTGACGGGTTAAATGTATCCGAGTATTTTTCTTTCCAGAGGAATATAAGAGGCCTTTTGCGCTGCCGTAAAGCTTTCTATTATGCCTCTCTGTTTTGATCGAGAAGGAGAATATTTGAGTCCCAAATGCAGGACTTTCTGGGCTCTAGATCGATTTACATCACCACCCAGCAATAAAAAGTAAACCCTCGGTCTCAAACCTCAAAGCCTGTGCTCGTGCTTTTTTTTGCTGAATATAAAAAAAGGGGTTTTCAGGGATATTTACCTAAACTTGAGATCGGTACAAAAGTAACCATAAATTCTCCACCTCATGGTTGCATGACTACAAGGCAAGACACATGGGCCATCATTTACAAGTGTCGATAACAAAAAGGCAGTAAGAGGTTAAATTTCAAGGAATGCAGGTAACTCAATTAATTTTGACAAATCTGTGCCACTTGTTAGGCTCTTCGATCCCAAAATTCCAAAACCATCACGATCATGTCAGCTCATCAAAACCCCCCAAAAAAACGTGAAATACAAAGCCCACTCAGATTTCTCAATACTAAACAAACACATAGCAAGATCTTGCGTGCTGTGCATTTTGAGGCTGCCACATATGCCTTTTTGCATGCTGATCCCTAATGCTATGCAGCCACGCATCGCTTCACCCATACCTTTACCTCCATCCTTTGACACTCCCCTCCCCTCCCCCCCCCCTCTCCCCTCTTTAATCCGCCCTATATATCTAAGCCCCTCCCAAACCCTTTTGTTCCCTTATCACTCAACACTTCCTTCATGCCCTCCCTCGTCAATAAACATCCAAACCATTAGCACATTTCCCCAGATCAAGAAAAGATGAGCTCCACTTGCGCTGAGCAACACAAGTTGCAGCCTTCTCACCCGCAGTTACCTTTCAAAGACATTGAGATTCCTCCAAGGAAACTCCTCCTTTCTCATAATCACTTTCAAGAAAACGCCACCATGCAAATTCCCTTCGAAGGCAGCCTTCAGAAATATCTCCCTTCCAACAGGAATAACGCTGAAGATGAAGACAATGACGCTGATCCCTATGCTACTGACCATTTCCGCATGTATGAATTCAAGGTAAGAAGGTGCACCAGGAGCAGGAGCCACGATTGGACTGATTGTCCCTTTGCTCATCCTAACGAGAAAGCCCGCCGCCGTGACCCCCTCCGCTTCCGTTACTCCTCCACCGTCTGCTCTGACTTCCGCCGAGGTGGTGGTTGCCCTCGTGGGGATGACTGTGACTTCGCTCATGGGGTATTCGAGTGCTGGCTACACCCTACCCGCTACAGAACTGAAGCATGCAAGGATGGCAAAAATTGCAAGCGCAAGATTTGTTTTTTTGCTCACTCATCTCGTGAGCTTCGTTTGTTGCCCGATGGATCTCCAAAGTACAAGAATTCAGGTTCTTGCAGCTCTTCCCCAATGAACAAGAATAACCATTGCTGTTTGTTTTGTCACTCTGTTACCTCTTCTCCTACGAGTACTCTGTTAGGTTTGTCTCATTTGTCAAGGTCACCATCTTTGTCACCGCCTTTGTCGCCTGTCAAGCAGCGAGCATCTTTAAGTGGGTTTTCACCAATTTCCAGATACGGTGATCGTTTGAGTAAGTTTGGAACTGAAATGATGAGTTACAAGGATGCGCTTAACGAGCTGATGAGTTCTTTGGAGACCATGAATTTCTGTGAAGTCTCTTCACCTATGGCTGGTGGAAACAACCTGAACGAAAACATCTCCTGGCTTGATGCTTCCTTGAACGGGGAAGATCAGCAACAGTTTGTTCTATCTCCTTCCAGGCCAAGCCCTTCTGAGTCTGGAGAATATTTTGGCGCAACCAAACAAATCGGAGGTTATGAGAATCTCAATGGGAACGGCGTGGCTTGTGATCCTGATCCTGACCTTGGGTGGGTCAATGAGCTGTTGATGTAGAGAGAGGATGACGATGACGATAACGGAAATGGAAGGAGAATTGCAAGTGTAAATACAGTCATGAAACAGCCGTACATATATATATATATATATATATATAATCTTTCTCCAACGTATATATATGTGATTCGGTTCATATTTGCTCATCTGATTATTGTTTCATGCTCTTGATTGTCTTTTAAATTCAGTATTGTTTTAAGTTTGTTTGAGTCTCTTCCTTTTTTGACTTTTTGTAAGTTTTTTGAATTGATGGGATGTGATCCACTCTCGGATTTTTCAAGTCAAAATCGATGGATTGTGATATTTTCCTTTCTTTGAATTTTTTTCCCATGTTGAGCTGAATATTTCGGCTACTGCAATCATGCATGTAACCTACGTGGTTAACCTAATATAATAACGGGATTTCCGGTCCGAAATCCATGCTTAAGAAACAAAAATATTAGGGATCTGATTAGCTTAGGTGGCAAACATGCAAGAGGTTAGGGTGGCAACTAGGATTTGGAGAGGTGACGGGATTTCGTTTTATTTGTCAGATATTTTTCTAGCTGCTTCTGGATGTTTCGTGGTGAAAAGTTACAGCCTAGTTTTTAGCTTTGCAAGCACCTTGCTATCTGTTCAACCACGACGCAACTTTTTGCTTTGTATATTGTTTCGGATCAAGTCGATTTTATCTTTAACTAAAATATAAGTTTAGATATCATAACAATACAGCAATACTAATATTGGTTTGGAATTGGGCCAGGGGGGGATGAAGGGGACTTTTTTATTTCATTTCTGAGGCAAAATGTTCAATTTTCTCGGGTTGGAGAGGTGGTAGAAAAGGGATTTCAATTCCTCTTATCAATTCAGTGGGATAGAGAGCAATGCTCATTTAATTATTTTAAGATATGATGGTTTCCAAACATTGTCAACCCTTTCATTTTTAGAACTTGCAATCTTTAATTCTCTCTCACTCAAATGAATAAGTAAAAATGAGAGGCTGAAATAAAGATAGCAGAAAATTTTACTACATGACCTTGGTCCTTGAGCAATTAATGCAATATATTAAAAAAAAAGCAAAATAAAACCCATAACATATATCTAAATGTTCATAGGTAAGTCGATGTGCGGCCATGATCAACGGATGCCGGTGTAAGCAGTACAAGAGTGGCAAAAATATTAGGTGGTAAGTATAAGTTGTTTCCTAGGAGGGTACTTGTATCTGAAAGACAGCTGTGGTGGTGGGGGGAAGGACCCATAGGGGCGTGTTTGGAATGACCCAACTCTTTGTTAGGGCTCCTTGTTGTTGGCAGTGTCGGGTTAGGTGGGTGATTGGGGTTTTGGCTCACAGGAATGGTGTGGGGCTGAGGAAGCAGCCCATGCTGAAGTGACCTTGGATAGGGCCTCTCCCTGGGGTCCCCCACCTGTCTCCTTCACCTTCTTTGGGTTCAAAAGATTTCATTTTCATTTATTGTCGTGAATTAGAGAGAGTCCCTCATGGGACCAAAGCCCCATACTTCTTTTGCGCGGTTGTGAGATACCACTCACCACTCCTTAGGTATGGCCGCCACCATCGAATGGACAATAGCGTTTAGGTTTAGATAGGCCATACATCTGTACTGCATGGGCAGCAAAACCGATATCAATTCTTAAATATCTCATTGCTTGACAAATGGCTTGTGGCTTGTCGCAAACAACAAATAGAGAAATATGGTGTCCAACCTAATTGAATACAATATTGCTTGCTGTCTTCTTTCTTCTTCCTCTTTGGAAGGTAGGAATGTACGCTTCTGCACACTAATAGGCAGGTAATTTCCCAGAATTAGAACTGTTTTTTTGTAACCAACCAAGGTTCTTCGCCGTTTTTTTTTTTTTTTTTGCCTAATTAGGAGATATTTCTGTTTGTAAATGGATAATGGTGGTCAGAATTATAAGTCAAATTGATGTCTGAAGTCTTATAAATAAGTTGGGTCTCTGTTAACTGTCTATATACAATGCCTACCTAGATGGTCCTTCTATTGGGTTTATCCATTATATTAAATTAGTTAGGAGTACAACAAACTTAATTGATCTAAGCCCGGTTGAACTTATCTGATCAGTCGAAACTGAAGTCAAATCTTCTAGCTATCAATCCCATTGCAACTAGGAAAAGGATCCCTTAATAATATCAATTATTCTCTCAAGTCAATTCTAGTGTGGAATTTGAATGAAATTTCATTATTAATTCACCTACCAACTTGGAAAAGTTGTCCCACTCTGGTTTGTCAGGAAAGCTAAGACGTTAATTCCACCACTCCCACCATATTAACAAGATGGGTGCAACTCTTTTCTCAGTTACTCTAACTTGTTGCTAGAGACATTAAAGCCTGTCTAACTTCTTCAAACTCACATGTAACTTTGGCTTCAATTGTTTCTTCACGAAATCTTGAGAAGAAAAAAGATTTGTCCCACATATTGAGCATCATAAACAAGAAAATTGCAATACATTCAAATAAATGTAATAAAAATTGGATATGTCAAAATGTAAATCATGTATGTGGATTGTGGATTTGGATCCTTCCTCTCAATCCATTCTGCCCATATGTATGCTAGATTGATTTATAACGTTGACAGCCTAATTTACGACTAAATACAGTGTTGGCATGCCCAAAAAATCCCCCTACAAGCTATGTTAGCTATATTCGTTTGTATACCTCAATTGTCCTTGCAGTTTCTTGAGTAGCTTGAAGACAATCTTGATGGCGACTGAAAAAAATCAAATGGGGTTCCTGACCCAAAAGACCTTCTTGTAGAGTTTGGCGAATCCGATAAAAGAGGTTCATAAACTGGATTTCTGTTCTTTGGTTGAGTAATTGATAAAGGAGATACTTCTTTCTCTATCGATCTTGGTTGTGGCTCAATATTGCCTAAAGACAGAATTGGCCCACCCATTCTTTCAGCCTGCTGAAGTGTATTGATCTTACTTGGTCTGTATGTATACCGGAAGTACTTCAAAGCTAGAACTGGTCCCATCCCTGCTGCAACTATGAGCTGTTTAATAAAGGAAAAAGAACAAATTAGTATCCAAATTCTAAGTTTAGCCACTGTCATGCTCATTTACTGGCTTTTTGGATAACTGTTTTAAGTTTACCACACCAAGTATCATATCAAGTGACAGAGGGTAAGCTGGTGCTGGTCAATATCTTGAACCAAGTAAAACACCAAACCAATTTTATAGTACAATAAAAGGACTACCCTCCATCACTTTAATTGGCACTGGTAAGCTGACAAGTTAGAAGATGAGTAGAAAAATTAGAATCCAATCATCAACTAATTAAACATGAGAAAAGGAAGTGGAAATGTTCCCTCCCTGGCAACATCAAAAGGAAAGTAAATAAATGGCAATGTAAAACTTACAAACATAGTTATCCAATAAGATGGTTGCCTCCATAACCGGAACATAATAGTGTACATCCCTGATGAAGGAACTGCACTAAAAATCCAATTGATGACATAGAAAGCAACTAAATTCCCCCATATGGCAAGATGTTGCAATATTGTGAAGGAACTGCAAGTAACAATAAAACCTCAGCAAGTCAGGATATGTACCTATGAAATACCATTGGAACTGAATCTAGTAAAAGTTGTATTGCAAGGTTTTGAAGTATACATTTTAAAATTTGGGTAGAAGTTATTTCAACAAGAAAATTGAACACCTCTTAACAGCCCTCATGGAACAACATTATTTTGCATTGATCCTCAAGCAAGATATACTATCACATGCTTTTTCTTTTTTCTTATTCTCTACAGGCTGGGCTAAAAAACCTCATGGGGACAAGAAGGAAAACAAAACAGAAATTCAAACATATTTAATGTATTCTGCAGATTTTTGAGATGGAAGCATACTTTGTCTCTAATGCCACAACAAAGGCCTGCAACCATATACATCCTGAAAGTGCCACCATAGAAAGTTCTTCCATTTCACTTTTCTCGTAAGCATAAGCATGTATGGTGATCACAAACACAACAATTGCCTGCAAATAACCACCAAATAAATAGATGGGGCAATAAAGCAAACAGTTAGAAATGTGAAAAATTCAAATAAACTCCAATATAAAAAGATAAAAAAACAAACAGAAAGTTTTTAACCAGTCTAATAAACTATTACTTGAAACCTAATTCCTAGCACATAGATGAAGAGAAGCCCCAGATACGCAGGGGAGGCATCAAGCAATTTGATGGACTTGCTATCTCAAGAACTCATTCACACTCCTTGAAGAAAATAATATCCCCACATCCAACACCTTGACACAAATCATGTGCATTGCTGTCACACCACATACTCTCTTCAATCCTTGGCAAGGCAGTTCAATTTGGAAAGCCTTTTGAAAATGCAAGCATTACAAAGAAATAATCCCCACCATTGTTTTGGATTCTCAACCAGACAAGATAAAGTCTCCTATACGTTCCTACACCATGGTATGCTGCTAGTTCAAGTTTCAGACTAGCTAATCAAGTTTGTCAGAGTTTGCTGAAAGAATCAGATAATCCAGTATTCTAATGATGAAGTTTCAGTCACCAGTGTAAAACTTAACAATGTCATGGATCATTAAGTGTTTGAGATTTGTTTCAATGACTTCATGAGCGATATCAGCAAAAATGCCTTGATATGTAAACCAGGGTGCAAGAAAATAGTACTAGTAACCAAAATTACAGAACAGCACTCACATGGAACAGAGATCGACCAAACCATCCAGCAAATGTACTTGGATTAAGAAGCCTGTGTCAGAAACAATCCTGCATCAGCTTGATGACCAGTAACCAGCAGATGTAAAGTTGTCTGCTAAAATAATGCAACAAATTTGCCCAGTTCCTTATCCTCAACCTGTTAATACTGAAAACTCTAAAAATAAAAAATAAATAAAGTGGAAAAACAGCAAACCTTCCCGCTTGGCAGTAAAATAAAATTTGTGGATGCTGCATAACTGTTCCTTCACTAAGATCTTTGTCAAGGACACTGACTAGAACAGGAACACTAGTATAGAAAACATTATAGGCCATCAAGCTAACAGAATTGAAAAGACTGGTTCCAGAGACTCCTGAAATAAAAGAGAAACTGATGCAATTCATGTCAGCAGAAAGAACTGATAAGTTTAAAGCAGAATCAATTACAACGGAAAGCATCAGGTAAAGGAACATTAGATTCAGGAACTCACAAAATTTGGATGAAACATATAACTAGTG